TTTTATAAGAACGAAATGGCGCTTTTAGTGACATTTTGCATACAAATCCCCATCTAGTAGGGCGCAGTCACCCAGTTTCAGTGGAAGTGCGCGAGTTCGATTGGGATTCAAGTAGGAAGGGAGCGTCTCAGCTTCCTCGGACCACGACCATTCGACTCAGCACCCCGAAGACTACAACTGGTGAAATTTTAATTTTTGCCTTAACTTCCCCTTTAGCGATTTTACGAGTGACACTTCTTCGTTATAATAGGTTCTATTGAGGCAGGTGGTTGAATATCAGTATGACATCAGTCTGTATTGTGCTAGTTGTTGCACCTTCTGACTACACAACATTTTACAACATTTTACTTATAACTGTTAGTGTTGGATACAAACTATGGATAACATGAAACATTTTGGTCAGTTCTTTTAATTTTAATACTTGGCTCTACATCCGAGTCTTGTCTTACAGACGGTAACCTCTGCGGCTCTGATCCACTCGGGCTGTTTGACAAGTGACTCTGATCCACTCGGGCTGTTTGACAAGTGACTCTGATCCACTAGGGCTGCTTGACAAGTGACTCTGATCCACTCGGGCTGCTTGACAAGTGGCTCTGATCCACTCGGGCTGTTTGACAAGTGACTCTGATCCACTCGGGCTGTTTGACAAGTGACTCTGATCCACTCGGGCTGTTTGACAAGTGAACAATCGCTTCTTTCAGTTGCCATTTACATGGTTAGCAGAGAAAGACAAAAATCAGATTTCCAGACTTATTCCAGACCCACTTTTCCATGACGGATCGGTAGCGACCAGAAGATTCATTGATGATAATTATACCAAATAAGTCATACACTTGCCCATTGGAATTGCAGCCGGGCAGACTGCACAGTGCATTGACCAGTGGACAAACTATCGTAACTCAACCAAATAAGAACGTATTACAAAACGCCATTGGAAACGTCTTGAGTCTAGCTTAGGGATATAACGTTCTTCGCGATGGAATACTAGTAAGAAATTTATTTGCGACGACAAGCTGAACATGAAAACCAGGTCAAGCTCGATCGCGAGCGTTCCTGACTTTGCGCAGATGTTTGACTTTTCGAGTGTGCTAGGGGATTTCCCTGTGGCACAATGCATGCGTGATGGACATCAAACGCAGACTGTGGATCTGAGCTTTGCAGCATGCACAGTTTGAATCATGATATTCCATGATCACTTCCTACACAAATCTAGTTACCGTAAAAACCTGTAAAGGTGCCCACTCGGATAAGGTGACCACCTGTCCTAGAAGACTAGTGAAACCAGCAGCAAGGGATGCTATTTCCAGTCAAATGACCCTGTATAAGGAGACCACCTGGTAGCAGAGAGCACAATTGTAAGGTGCGTTGAGCAGTAGTGTTAGATAGTTGTTGTGTGTTTCCAGTAGATGACATAGATGTGTAAAGTTAGTCAGTAGAGTGTAGAGTGTAGTGTGAAAAAAGTAAACATAACTATACTATTCTACTAATGGACACGTAGAGGATATGCATGGCGACGTATGTGCTCGGCGTACAAAGGGGCCTCCAACAACCTTTATTATTATTATTATTTATTACAACATCTCAAGACTCGGCGGAAACACCGGCCAATGTTACGAGAGTGGGTGATTGCCAACCACGGCGATAAAATTAATAGAAATGAGGGGAGGGAAAAAGAAAGAAAGAGTAGCAAAACGAACAGCAACAACAACTCCGTAAAGAAAGATAATGTCAAATAAAAACAGTGAAAAACACAGAGACGCAAAGGACATGTGGATAATGAGCTATGTATGTCGTAGTAAATAAGGGGCGGCACGGATCTTAAACAGGCGGAGTGAGGTCAGGTCCTTAACTTCTCTGGGTAGAGTGAGCCAAACAGAATAAGCAATAAAGAGAGGGGAGCGCAAAAGAGTGGATGAGTTACACTTAGGGAGTAAGAGCGAGTTTCTAGTTCTTAGAGAAGAGAACCAATTAAAACACATGAGATGAGGTGGGCACAACTCAAGCTTAATAGAATGGACAAGAGAAGCCAGGTGTGCACTGCGTCCATGTGATAACGGGGTTGTGTGAGCGATTTTATAAAGGGCGGATGATGAGAGCATGCGGGGTTGACGGAGGAGAATTTTAAGTATTTTCTTGTGATGTATTTCAAGCTTTGCAGCAGCGGAAGAGGATAACCCAACCCAAGACGTATCTGCATAATGAAATATTGGGCGAAGGTAGGCTAAATAAAAAAGAAGCTTGCAAGAAAGTGGGAGGTAGGAGCAGTGGGGGGAGAGAATTCCTAAGGATTTACTTGATTTTTTACAGATATATTCGATGTGAGGTACCCAAGAGAGTGCAGAGTCAATCACAATGCCAAGGTGTTTGTGAGAAGACACTATGTCAATTGGATTTGGAAAGTTGGCATGGATGAGGGTTGTGAACTCCGGCTGGGGCGGGAAGAGCATGATTTTTGTTTTTGATAGATTTGGGGACAACCTCCAGGACGACATCCAGGAAAGAACTTCCTGAATGCCAGCACGCAAGTTGTTTTTCAGGCCAGTGAGGGAAGCTGATGAGGTGAGAAGGGTCGTGTCGTCAGCAAACAGAGACGTTCCAGGGAAGACTGCAGGTAAGTCGTTTACGTAAATTATAAATAGTAGGGGACCAAGACCTTTGCTCGGCGATGGCGTCCTTCGGCCGCTTGCTAGCAACACAATCCTTGCCACCAGACTCTATTACCCCCTTCACCGCCTGTCGTCTAATTGCCCTGGACAACAACCCAGGTGTCAGGCCCGTTGGGGTGTCTGAGGTCCTCCGTCGCATTCTAGCCAAATCCATTCTCCGAGTAACGTCAGACGATGTAATGGAGGCCTGTGGTTTTCTCATAAAGTGTTCTGGATTGCCAGCCGAGATAGAAGCAGCGGTCCACGCCATGAAGCGCTTGTATGAGGACGCCACAACTGAAGGAGTCATACTAGTTGACGCGAAGAATGCCTTCAATTGCCTGAACCGCCAAGCAGCTCTTCACAATGTTCGCCACTTGTGTCCTTCCCTGGCTACCACACTGCTGAACTGCTACCAAGATGATGCCCGCCTCTTCGTTTCTGGCGGTGGTGAGCTTTCCTCCGCAGAGGGTACCACACAAGGTGACCCTCTGTCGATGGTTTTCTATGCCCGCGCTACATTACCATTCGTACGGCACCTCCGCACTACCCACGCCAACATCCGTCAATTGTGGTATGCCGATGATTCAAGTGGTGCAGGCAAGCTACGGGCCCTTCGACGCTGGTGGGATGATGTGGACGAGACCGGGAAACCTTACGGTTACCATGTCAACGCCTCGGAGACTCTCCTCCTCGTCAAGCCGGAAATGCTCAACCTGGCCCACAGTGTCTTTGCAGGAATTGGCATTGAAGTGGTCACGGATGGAGCACGCTACCTGGGTGTCGCTATAGGGACACCGGATTTCATCGCTGGCTAAACAGCTGGGAAAGTACAAGACTGGCAGCAGGAGCTTATGCGACTGTCCGAGATTGCCACTACCGAACCTCATGCGGCGTATGCCGCCCTCACACACGGATTGCGTGGTCGATGGACATATCTTCTTCGTACACTGGAGTTCTCAGCTGAACAACTGAAGCGCCTGGATGACACGGTCACGGAGCACTTCCTTCCGGCTCTGACAGGGAAACGCACATTCACGGCGGATGACCTCTCTCTTCTACGGCTACCTTGCCGGCTCGGTGGAATCGGTTTGCCATACTTCAAAGACATCGCTACCTCCCAACTGCAGGCTTCCCAAGTCATCACGAGCAGCCAGGTTGACGAGATCATCCACCAGCACGATCGAGAGTGGCAGCATCATTCCTGCGACTTTGTGGATCAGCTAGCCCGCCGTGAGAGAGCATCTGCTGCCAAGTCCTCCAAGAAAGCTAGTGCTGCCTCTTCCGCTGCTCTCCGAGAAGCCGCGGACCGCCCCTTGGCCCGTCGTATGGATGAGCTGTCCCGCAAAGGCCCCTCTTCCTGGCTCACTGCTCTTCCTCTCAAGGAACATGGGTTCCACCTCTCGAAGCAGGAGTTCAGGGACGGCCTTGCATTGCGGTATGACTGGCCTCTCCTTGATGTCCCTACGAAGTGTGCCTGCGGAGTTCTGTTCTCCACTGCTCATGCCATGTGTTGCCCCCAGGGTGGCTTCCCTACAATCCGCCATAACGAAGTCTGTGACATGGTAGGGGAGCTACTCACGGAGGTCTGCCACGCAGTGGCAATCGAGCCTCAGCTAGCCCCGCTCTCTGGAGAGGTGTTTACGGCTGCATCGGCAAACACCGCCGAGGATGCCCGCGCTGATGTCCGTGCCCGTGGCTTCTGGACCCGAGCACAGGATGCTTTCTTTGACGTACGCGTCTTCATTCCTGATGCGGCGTCCTACTCGGCCCAACCACTGAATGCCCTACTGCTTCAGCACGAGCGCCAGAAGAAGCTGCAGTACGGAGAGCGAATCCTCAATGTGAATCGTGGCACATTCAGCCCGCTGGTGTTGTCAACTTCTGGTGTTGCCTCCCCTGTATGTGAAAGGTTCCTTAAGCGCCTCTGTGGCTTGCTTGCCAGGGCTGATTCCAGCATGTCTTATGGACACCATGTTGCATATGTGCGCTGCAGGCTGTCTTTCGCGCTGCTCCGGTCCGCTGTCATGTTTGTCCGTGGGTCTCGGTCGGCATACCATCGTCCAGCTAAGGAGCTCGGGGAGCTGGCGGTGGTTGAAAGTCGGATCTAAAACCATTTGTGTTTTAGTGTGACTCTCGCCATTCCGGAGACATATTTTCCACACCTGTGTACTATTATTAATATTATCTTCCTATCATACCCTGGTTTCTCATCATTGTGTTGCTTTTGCCCGTAAAAGAGGCTGTTTCTACTTCTGTGAAAAAGAGAAACAGCCAGAAGGAAAGCAAATTTTACACATTTGTTAAAAAATCTCCTCGTACAATAAAAACAACAGTTAGAGGATAACAACTTACCATTGGAGTCTCCTAGCTGTATACTGAGTGTCACACCGTCTATACTGTCAGAAATCACACATGTCTCTATGCTGTACAGCAGCGACATCAATACACATACACACACACACACACATGTGTCTATGCTGTACAGCGGGAACATGAATACGCATATATACACACACACAGACAGGCGCACTGAGCACCAAAGCAGTGAGCACTGATGAAGTTATAGAGGTTAAGTCAATAGATCATCCGTTCAGATGCTTTGGCAAAGTCGCAGCACAGCAATGCACTAGCGACTCCCTAGCGACTCCCTAGTGACTCCGTAGCGACTCCCTAGTGACTCCCTAGCGACTCCCTAGTGTCTCCCTAGCGACTCCCTAGTGACTCCCTAGCGACCCAACCTGTGTACATGGCGCCCAAAAGCGGTTGCGCTGTTAGCGCCCATAAGCAGTTGAGGAATTGCGCTGACTGACTAATCGGACTTCTTTCTCATAACCTTCTCTGAGTGTGGAGACTTACATTGCTGGCATATAGTCCTTGGAGACTTTCTCGTGACCGTAAGCGAGAAGTAGCGATGACTTGCCGACTCCACTGTGGTAGAGACACATGCACGCACACAAACACACACACACTCACACAAACACACATGCACACACGAACCCACACACACCAATGCACACGGACACACATACACATACACACACACACGCACCCCCCCCCCCCCCCACACACACACATACACACATGCCCACACGCACGCATGCACAAACACCTTGAACCTTGAAACTGCCACCTAAAGGTGATGCAGTGCCTCAAAGAGGCAAGGAGGGCAGAGTTACTTCTTGCATTTGTGTTGAGCCAGGTACTGGAGACGTGTGAACTTCCGAGAGCAGGTCGGGCATGGGATGGTGCGGCGCTCAGAGCCAGAGCTGCATGTTCTGCGGTTGGAGTTGCAGTTGTGCCGGCGGTGCCCAGCTTTGCTCCGGAAACAGCGGTCACAGGTGTGGCAGTGGTAATGACATTGGCTGCAATCAGGTGGGCGAGGTGCAACAATCTCTGGAACTGGAGCGTCACCAAGACTGGGAGAGCAGCTGTGCACAGCGAATCCACCTCGGCTAGCAAACCAACGATGGCACGTTTCGCACAACACAGCACCGGCCTGTTCATGGATCGGCTTCAGTCGCTCTTCCCTGCATTTGTGCCGCCGAAGTCCGCTTTCACTGGCGAAGAGTCGCTCACAGATCGCACAACACACTGACTTGGCTGTCGTTTCAAGGCGTAAGCGCCGTGCAACAATAGCATCCGAGATGGACTGGATCCACTCGCCACGTTCAGCTGCGAGGTCGTACCAACCGGTGTATAGACCCAACGCCTTGAGGTCATCGCGTACCACATCACGCCATCGACGCCTGGGGCCATGAGCAGGGCGTGGAGTATGGAGCCACGAGAACAACACTGTCTTTGGAAGCCGGTGGTCGTCCATCCTGGCAATGTGGCCAAGCCACTGCAGCCGTCGACGGGCAACACACACACACACACACACACACACACACACACACACACACTGTACTGTATTGACAGCTACCCTAACGGGTCACGCCCAGGGCCTGCTGGAGAGCCGGGTCAGCCGGGTCACGCGCCCGGCTGGGGAACTGCACGACCTGGCTGAACAGATAACACCGGGTCCAGTCTGACCCGGCTGAAAAATGTCTCAAACTAACAATGGATTCCTAAAATACCCGTATTTTACGACTCGCGGACCCCATCTGTTGCAAATCTAGTGCAACCGTACACACTACAGACCAGTGTATTTTACTACTCCCTGCTACAGACCACAGTCTACAAGCGACAGAAACTCGACTAGGGAGTAGGGTCAACTGGGGTCAACTGGTTCGAGCGCGATCTGGCCAGCGGCGAGCAGGAAGTCAGGACATCACGCAGGAAGTCGATGGGGCAGGTAGTCAAAAGCGTAACTTTGGCTATAGCTTTTGACACAGTTGCAAGTTTTCAGCCGACTGGTGATTTGGACGATGGAGCCCGCAGCGAAGAGAAAAAAACTCACGCTTTCCAAGACTCTTGGAAGAAAGGTCAACCCTGGCTGGACTACGACCAAGGCAGTCTATCCATGTCATGCGCTTTGTGCAAGACGCATTTCCAAAGGAAGACGAGCGGCGGTGGATTTGGTTGCGATGCGTGGTTGAAAGGTAAGAACTCACTGCTTCAACTACGACAAGACTATGGCTGCATGGCATTCTGAGGTGACTCGGCGCACTACGACTGCAACGTCAACCTCGTCTGAACGGAGGGACCTGGCCCGCACACCCAGAGCTGCAGCGGCAGCAGCAGCACCAGCAGCAGCAACAGCGCCACCAGCAACAGCAGCGCCAGCAGCAGCTGCAGCAGCAGCAGCGCCAGTCACTTAGCGCCAGCGCAAGCAGCAGCAGCAGCAGTTGCATCTCCACCAGTTCTCCAGTCTGCTGAAGCCTTTCAGCAGATGGTGAAGCAGATGCCAGTCGGCTTGGCCAAGCAGGTGATTCAGTCGCAGCAAGCAGCCACTCCACAAGGTGCTGCAGCCCCCCCCCCCCCCCCCCCCCCCAGTGCTCTATTATGTTACTGCTTGGCATTCTTCACATAATGTTGTTTTCCTTCTACGTTTGCGGACTTTGATAGTTCGCCTTGTTCTCTAAAATTTCCGATTTCCGGTAATAAATTCGCCTTTCTGTTTTCCTGCGTTTTGAGCAGGCTTTTTGGTTGTTTTTCTGCAGGATGATCTGACCCGGCTTGACCCGGCTGGCCTGCATGCGCCAGGTACACTCTGACCGGGCTGAGCTGAATGTCTAGAGCAGGCCCTGACGCCGCCCTCCACCCAAGCATGCGTATGATGAGGGACAGTGGCAACAAAAACAAAAAAAAACAAAGAGAGATAGCAGGAGAAAGACAGCGATAGTAGTACATCAGATCTGGTGTGCAACGTATAGAAAAGAGAGATGACAAGAGATAGACTAGATACGAACAAAAAGGAAACAATAATTATTTGAACCTGTATTATTGCAGTTCCGAAATAATCAACCAGGTGATGGAGTGTGGGCACCCGAAGTCCCACCTGGACTCCACTGAAAGAACATCCCTCGCAGGGATATCAGCGATAGGCCAAGCGTTGAAAAACAGGCATGAGGACACATCGTCTAGAAGTCCACCGCGCTCGAACTGAAATTGCAGGATCAAACAATTTCCCACGCGTCGTCAGGCAGCGTAACTCTTCTCCCTGCATCACCATCCATCTCCAGCAACCGTATCCACTCACAGCTCATGCCTCTGCCACCACTGTACTCCGAGCTTCGCAGTTTGAAACCATTCGGGGGTCAGCTACACCACCGCGAATGGAGAGACGAGGACGACAACGGTCGTGACAGAAAAGACACTGCCCTGGCGACCGCGTCGCGGAACCCTCGCCCAGCAAATTCAGAAACACGCCAGGGGCGACTCTGGTGGACCCAGAGCCACCCTGTCGCCTAAGACTAGTAAGAGGAACGACTGAAAACTCAGATAAAACGGAGCTACAAAAAAGCACACACACACCCACCCACCCACGCACACACACACACACACACACACACACACACACACACACACACACACAAACACACACACGCACACACACCCACGCACACACCCACGCACACACACACGCACACGCACCCACACACCCACACACACACACACACACACACACGCACACACACACACACACACACACACACACACACACACACACACACACACACACACACACACACATTCACACAGTACTGTACTTGCTCACTGTTAAAACTGATCATGTGTGTCTCCCCGGGAGAGGAGAAAGAGACTAAAAAAATGGCTGAATTGCCCATTGAACCGGCGGACACACACACCTTTTTTTTGACGTTTTGATGCCCACTGCCGGTGTCGATGATAGCGATGCTACGGCAAAACCCATAGCAACTTGTGGCGGGTTTGCACCATTCAACAGCTTGCAAGGCTGAAGAATTTACCGCCACTATTCAGCCTGGTCTACACCACACAGCTATGAAGTGGCTTCTTCTGGCCAGTGAATCTCTACTTTTTAGTGTTTCTCAATTTTTTCCCGCACACACATTACACCACATACTCCGGCATGCACTAGCTGTTGGTAACCACCCAGGAGAATGAAAGAAAAAGTCAGGAGTCTGAGAAAGACACACACACACACACACACGCACACAGCGCGCTCACGTGCTGAGGCATCAAGACATGATGACTCCGAGCGAGGCTCAAACGATGCCAATTTCTTTTGTACAGTAGTGCACATGCTAGTCTTTCAAAAATGTTTATTCATTCATTTTCTTGACGGTTTTTTTGTACCACTAAACTATTGTTTTGGAGCACGAAAACTTCCAAGTATGTGAATTCAAAAAATTCCTTGAATTTGTTTAGTTTTCGGAGGAAGCACCTTGCATGTACATGTACATGTATGTGTTACCATAAGGTCATGTGACTTCATGACTGTACTACTTGAGTATATTATAAATGTAGTAAATATAGTACATAATACATGAAGATCTGTAATATATGTACATGTAGTAATTTATGTTGTACCACCCGCCTGTGTGGATTCACAGGAAGTCTGAAGAAAATGTTGAACGGTCTCTGCCGGGATAACGACTACACCGTAGCTCAGTAGTTAGAGCATCACTAGCTACAAGCGAGGGTCTCTGGTTTGAGTCCTGGCGGTGGCAGTCAATTTTTTCTTCAGACTTTTCCCGTTTGTGTCTCTCCCGCAAACTAGTCAAGTAACTTATTTGTAATACATGTAGTAATTTATTTGTAATACATGTAATTCGGGAGAATGAAGTTGAAGACACCATTGCAGCTGTACTTATGGGTGATAAATATGGTGGTAAAGACACACCCGGCAATATGGCGGTAAACACACGCCTGCCCACACACGCTCTCTAGGCTGCAAAGTTCTAGCACAGAGCTCTCCTTCTCACCACCACCACCATCAGTTCGCGCCTGGTCGATGCATGGTTGGCGGTATCCGGCATAGCAGGCTGGTACATCAAGTAGCGCATGGCACATAGAAGATGACACAGCAACGACATAGCTCGATTGCGACGTACGTTTCGTCCCCGCCCCGCGAACTGATGGTGGTGGTGGTGAGAAGGAGAGCTCTGTGCTAGAACTTTGCAGCCTAGAGAGCGTGTGTGGGCAGGCGTGTGTTTACCGCCATATTGCCGGGTGTGTCTTTACCACCATATTTATCAACCATAAGTACAGCTGCAATGGTGTCTTCAACTTCATTCTCCCGAGTCAAGCTCCGTATGAAGACACCCAAGAAGAAGATTGACTGATGAGTCCAGCGGGGACGAAACGTACGTCGCAATCGAGCTATGTCGTTGCTGTGTCATCTTCTATGCGCCATGCGCTACTTGATGTACCAGCCTGCTATGCTGGATACCGCCAACCATGCATCGACCAGGCGCCAGGCGCGAACTGATGATGGTGGTGGTGAGAAGGAGAGCTCTGTGCTAGAACTTTGCAGCCTAGAGAGCGTGTGTGGGCAGGCGTGTGTTTACCGCCATATTGCCGGGTGTGTCTTTACCACCATATTTATCAAACATGTAGTAATTATTTGTAATAAATGTAGCAATTTATTTGTAATACATGTAGTAATTTATTTGTAATACATGTAGTAATTTATTTGTAATACATGTAGTAATTTATTTGTAATACATGTAGTAATTTATTTGTAACACATGTAGTAATTTATTTGTAATACATGTAGTAATTTATTTGTAATACATGTAGTAATTTATTTGTAATACATGTAGTAATTTACCGCTTAGGAGCTTCATCTGCGCCTTGATCCTTGAAGGGTGGTGGCGTTCCTATGGATGCGGAAAACCCGGCTTCCAGCCGAGTCTCACGCGAACCGTGAATTTTTTTTTAATTAGTAATTTATTTGTAATACATGTAGTAATTTATTTGTAATACATGTAGTAATTTATTTATAATACATGTAGTAATTTATTTGTAATACATGTAGTAATTTATTTGTAATACATGTAGTAATTTATTTGTAATACATGTAGTAATTTATTTGTAATACATGTAGTAATTTATTTGTAATACATGTAGTAATTTATTTGTAATACTGAAGTACAATGTACGTAGGTCCTACCTGTCACCGACCACCTGGCACACCATCATCCTCCTCTCGATATCAGCCATGTAATTGTTAGATGCTGCGCTGCGCTGGTTGCTTTCTGATACGAGCACTCCACCGTTAGCCTGTTCCCCGACCTGTTGCTACGTAGCGTACCGCTGAGCACAACACGCTAGTCGCTAGTGCTGAGGATGTTCTTATGAATCCGGTGATGCACAAAACTATTTCATGTATGATTAGTAATCATCATGATCATAGTAGTATATGACGAGTAGTTGATTATTTGTGATGGAAGTACTGTTGAGTGTCGTGGACATGGAAATCCATTCGAATGACCGGGGTCGGCGCCCTCAGCGCGTACAGAACGTCGTTGCATGCAGTGCTAGTCACGGGTGTTTGCAGTGTATAACTCTGCACTGCATTATTATTATGTACATGATCCGATGCGACCAGCGCGCTGCAGCGCATAACTTACTACTTGATGCATTATGATTGTGTGTACCCACGGCCGGCTGGATGGCCAGCACCCTGGGGCCCGACGCCGCTAGACGTGCGAGACCAGATTTCCATGTTCACGAGAGGCGGGAGTAGATGATAACTGTCAAAGGATCAACCTTCTTGCCAGTTCTTGGTAAGTACTAATGACATGTTATGGCAAGAAAGGTGCGCGTCTCGGTCCTGACCTGGAGTATGATTTATCCGAGACATTCAGCCCTGTGACAGTGTCCAATGCTCAAAATAGCTAACACGTCCACAGCTGAAATCTCTAACTATTAACTGTACTGCTACTGCTGTCACTGGCACTCTCCTGACAACACAGTGCTTCTATAGACAGTGATGCTAGCAACACTGCATGCTGCTTGTACTACACTGAGTACTGATATTTATACATGAACTTAATACTGTGTAGGCTGCTTAGTCTGAGTTTGAGTTAGTTGTATGCTGCTTTGCTGGTCTGTCATGACACGTACATTCTGACAATCTGCTGGTCTGTCATGACAGGTGCATTCTCACCATGACAGGTGGGACGTCATTGTGACGCCAAGCACTGTCTGCCTCAGGCCTGTGCTCAGAAACAGTAGATGGGACAGTGAGAAACGCACACACACAAACACACAATGCACTACAGTAGACAGTGCTGTAGAACAGTGCATTTAGAGTAGCAAGGGAAAAACCCTAGTACTGGCTTTCATGTACTCATACAGTAGAGTAGTAGGTGCTGCTGCTGCTGTTGCCAGTGTCTGTACAGTGAAGTGTATGTATGAATGACTTGTACTGATACATGCTATGAACAGCGCACAAGTGCAAGAGGAAATCTCTCCACAGCAACTAATCATACAGTGTCATTACAGCTACCTGTAGCTGATCTGTGTAGCTTGCTCTACTAGTAACTGTTGTCTGTTGTAGTGTAGCTAGTGTTTGTGTGAGGGCGCTGTGTGTCTGACCCTGCCAGCAACATTAGCAGTCTTCATTACTGCTGACCTGCTGCAGTATGGACCAGGCAAGTAGTCCAACTGCCAGCTCAGGTCATGGCAAAACTACTAAGAAACCACTACCTGATGCCGTGAAGAAATACCATGACCGTCTGTGTGCTGCCTATAGCAATGTGCAGTTCTGCATAGAGGAGACCGATGAAGAGAAGGAACGAATCTTGCAAATGGACGAGCTTTATGCTGACCTCCATGTAGTGTCCAAGCAGAAGTTAAATACCAGGATGCGTGAAGCAGAGAAACTTGGCACAACTGCGGGCAATGAGCGGCTGGCTCATTCATTTGCGTCTGAAGCTAGGAAGCTGCGCAAGATGAAGCTTGCCGAGATTCTCAATGTCAAGAAAGCCATGCGACAACGCATGCGTGGCAACACTTTCCGTGCCATTGCCCTCTCATCGGCTGGAGCAGGCAAAACCATGCTCTTCACCAAGAAAGGTCCGTTTGAATGGGCACGAGGGCAGATTTGGCCTAGCATCGTTGTCCTGCGTGCACTGGAGCTGCGCTTAGCAGAAGTGCGCAATATCACAAGCATCACTGAGCTGCTGGATTTGCAGAATTACGGCATCACACTACCAGGTGAGCAGGCTGAAGTCATTGATTTTGTTTGCAATCATCCCGAATCTGTCTGTATTATTCTCGACGGCCTCGACGAGATCAAGCTGGCTGATTGCAGCACATTCATATACAACGTCATCTGTGGCAAAGAATTGCCCGGGATCAACCTGATCATCACGTCACGCCATTCAGCAGAAGCCATGAAGCTGACACAAAACCGGGACATAGTCTTCCATCGTCGTGTGGAGCTGCTAGGCTTTGAGAAGCAAGGTTTGGAGCACTACATTCGCAATGTCCTGTCTCCGAAAGATGCAACCAGCTTGCTAGCAGAGCTCCACACCAACCCGCAGCTGGCCACAATGATGCGTACACCGTTTTTTGCTCAAGCAACGTGCGGCCTCTACCGACACAAGCACAGTCTGCCAAACACGCTGGGTACAATCTTCAACTCGCTAATCCTTCATCTACTGAATCAGCGAGAAGGAAAGCTGCTCAACGATGGTGAGCAATACACCAATTGGGACGATGTTCCCGGCGACGTCCAGGAAAATCTACTTGATCTCTCCCGCTTCGCTTTTCACATGCTCATCCGCCGGAAAGTCGTCTTCACCGAAGCCGATTTCAAGATGTTTTCACTGTCATCAGCAGCTCGCACACTTGGAATGCTCATCGCCTGCGACAAGGCATCACCACTGTCCAAGATTCAGTGGCGTTTCAGTCACCTGGCACTTCAGGAAGCTCTAGCAGCTCGCTACATCGCTAGCCGCTCTCCCAGTGCAGCTGACGTCTCCTGGCTTGTGCAGCGACTCGGAGCATTCACAGGCAGCCTCAACATGTTTTGGCGCTTACTGGCCACTGAGCTGGACAGTGAGTCGGTCAATGTGTTGATCGAAGCCATTCTCAATCCGCAGTCCAAATCGTCTACTGAGCCACAGCCACAGGATACCGACCAGCATTCTACAGGAGCAGAAGGGCACAACGTCACGTGTTTTCTCTTCACAACACACGACTACGTCAAGGATTGGGCCGACCATGTGTCCTCCTTTCTCTCGCTGGACGAAGCAGAGCATCTTGCAGAAGAATTGCTGGGTGACAGGATCGATCTGGCATTGTCTGCTCCTGAAGTGGTCCGCCTCGAAATTGACCCAGCCATTACCAAAATCACCTGCAAGGATTTCGTTCGTTCATTGCTTCCCATCTGGACGGATCGCGTCCCCAGTGCCAGTACACAGAAGCTACACGATTGCATGGCCCACCAGGCGCAAGGATCGGCCATTCGATGTTTCACCGCCACTCCCACGTCAAAGCTACCTCCAGTTCCTCCATCCGACGAACCAGCCCAGCCACCTGCGACTCTGGAGAACGTCAGTGACGCGGAACGAAAACAACGAGTCCTCTACGCCTGCCGGGTCTTCGCGGAGCACGCCAACGCCAAGCAAACCAGCATCGAAGACATCGACAGCATGCAGGCTATCTTCACGGAGTACGGAGTAGATTTCGACGACGTTCCTCTCACACCGTCGGATTGTCAGGCCATCAACACAGTCATCCGTCACCACCACCAGTTCATCACCATCATCAACCTGTACAACTGTGGTATAGGTGATACTGGTTATGCATGCATGGCTGATGGCATGGCTCTACTACGCAATCTTGCGTGCATCGACCTGCACGGGAACAACCTCACAGATCGTCACACGGCCCATATCGCAGCGTGTATCGCATCCAACACGTCAACACTGGAGGACGTCTACACATCCGAGAACCTGTTCAGCAGCAATGCTAAGGCCACCGTCCACAGCAACACACACCGCTGTACGCGACTGCTGGGAGTGAGTCTTGGAGGTCAAAAGTGCACCAATCCAGCCGTCAACCTTGACGTCATCACTAGAATCTGCAGCAGCTGCCCAGATCTCCAGTACGTCAGTCTCGAAGACTACGTACTGGATCTGGAAGGTCTAACCCAGCTAGCACCATTGTTAGGAGCACTGAGGCTGAGAGTGCTGGGGCTGCACAAGGTTTGGATGAAGCAGAACTCCGCACTGATCGTCTGTCGAATCATTCAACAGCAACACGAGAGTTTGGAGCTGCTCTCACTCCAGCGCAATGAGCTAACTGGAGATTTCCTGGAAACCGTTCGCGGTGCGCTGAGTCAATGCCGACGACTGGAGCAGCTGTACCTGAACGACGACTGCCTTTCGTCGGGAGCTCTGCCGGTGCTTGCGTCCCTGCTGCCCAGTCTGCCAAAGCTGTCCAAGCTCGAAATGGCGAGGAATGATTTCCGAGACGCTGACGACGAAGCAAAGCTGTTCGCCGCCGCTGCTGAGAACTGCTCGTCTCTGAAGGAGCTGGTGATGCCTGAAAGAGCTCTATTGTCTCCATGGCTGCATGAGGTTCTAAGTGGCATGGCCAGAGATGATCTGAATGTGGAGTATCAGCATCTTCCCTGGTACGACGAGGTGGAGAATGACGAAGAAGAAGATGAGTACGACGCTGAAGGAGATAGTGAGAGTGATGAATGAGGAGGTGAGAGATGTTACAAAGACAGATTTTTTGTCCTGATGTAGAAAGCTTCGTGTTGGTCTATCGCTTCCTCCTGGCACACAGTTCGTCCGTGTATATTCGTTTGAGTGCATGTGCGGTTGTGTGTGTGTGTGTGTGGGTGTGTGTGTGTGTGTGTGTGTGTGTGTGTGTGTGTGTGTGTGTGTGTGTGTGTGTGTGTGTGTGTGTGTGTGTGTGTGTGTGTGTGTGCATGTTTCGTCTGGACATTCTTTTCTTCGTTTTCAGACAATTGGAGGAGTTACTGTGTTGACCCTTGACCTTTGAACTTTGGACCCTGAAAATGCATATTTTCGTTTCAGATTTGTTTCGATAATAATTGTGGACTGTCATTGAGAGAAATTGTGGTTCTTACTTGTGCATAGTGCATTATGTCTTTACTGGACGCAGGTTACACAATGAAATAATTATATTTGTATGTAGTAAAGTGGTCGCAGGTTTCTTTGCCAATATTTGCATCTCGTGAATAGAATATTTTTTCACAACTTTGAAGCTGCATGGTCATCTTTCCACTAAACCTCTAACCTACATATGTACGTGGAATATTGTAGTAAAAATTGATATATTCACGCATGACTATGGTATTTTCCAACATGACTACTCGCCATCACTTTGTTGCCTTTGTCATTCGGAGCTCATTCTTGTTCCAATCCTTCATGAAGATAAGTTGTTGAACTAAGTA